AGTTAGAATTTCTTGTCTGTATACTTGTTCTAGGTCAGTGTCTCAAAGTATTCAATCAAGGGGCTCAGTACAACCATGAAACTACCATTTGTATTAAGTGTCTCAGCAGTGGCAACCGCGCCATTCATATAACTCAAACATAAGTTGGTGCCGTTCCTCAGCGGGCTCTTGTCTCTGCTCTTCTGATTAACACCAAAGACTAGAAGATACAGCACCATATTCCTTAACTTTGCAACATCCATATTATCTATTTCTGTACAAATGCAAGTACACAGGGCAACAATTTTGTTATCTCCACCGTTTCTTTAACCCTGTGTAGTTGCATGTGTACCAACTTCTGCAAGGATGTCTTATGTGGTGCCCAGAGTTTGATATAGTTATCCTTTAGGTTACCCTGCCAAAGTCTTATAATAACCCGTCCGTGTTCCTGCAAGGTGCTGTTGTGTGGCTCACAGTGCTCCTGTAAACTTTGCCACCTATCCCTTACTTCTGTGCATGCATGGGAAAAAAAATTTTGTTTCTAAAGAAAGGTCGTATATCATTGGGATGCACAATAGATAACTTCTCCATAGTTATTAATTTGATTTTCTCAATGCATGTGCAGAAACAAGGGATTGGATGGAGAGTTTGAGGCAGCCTAGTGTGGATCTTGCAGGATCATAGCCAGGTTAGTATAAAAGTTGGGAGGGAGGGGGAGTTAAGGTAACCTAAAAAAATTCTATACAAAAGTACACGGTCTCGCCCACAAAAGGTCAGCACCTGGATTAAGCTAAGCCAATAGGTAAGAGCCTTCCACTGGATAAAAGGTCTAGGTTCAGCAATGTTATGCCCCCACAAAATGAGCTCAGCTGCCTACCTGACTATACTGAATGACCAGGCGTTTCCATGCATGGATTTTTTCTTCCCTGATGGTACATTGGGCATATTCCAAGATTACAATGCGAGGATCCATCGGGCTCAAATTGTGAAAGAGTGGATCGGGGAGTACGAGACACCATTTTCACACATGGTCTGGCCACCACAGAGTCCAGACCTTAACCCCATTGAGAATCTTTGGGATGTTCTGGAGAAGACTTTATGCCGTGTCTGAACTCTCCCATCATCACTACAAGAGCTTGGTGAAAAATGAATGCAACTCTGGATGGAAATAAATGTTTGACACCGCATAAGGTTATTGAAACTGCCATGGTAAATGCAGCTAAAGGCAGTCCAAGGAAATATTAGAGTGTGACTTTTTTTTGACCAAGGCCTCCCAAAACATATTTTGTTTAGTTACAGGTGGGTTGAATCAGCTGCTGGATTCTCTTGTCTCCAGAGCCTCCATTGGGGAGCTTCTACACCCTCCATTGAGGCTTTAATTAAGTCATTCTCTCTGATGACCTATCAGGAATTCTACTGGAGATGTTCCACCAAGAGAAGTCAGTGTGTGATTCAGCTTGTCTGGAAAACAGACATACAGTCATCCTTTAATTTTATAGAATTATTTAAAAAGAGGTGCCAAAAAAATTATTTTTTGTGACAGTCACATTTTTAAATGTTTGCTTTTCCATATATTTGGTATTGTATCAAATACAGGTATTTTATCGAATAACCTAGAATAATAAGAGCAAGATTAGATATGCTTGGTGCTCTAGCTCTTGTGGAACTACAGTACAAGTCCCATAAGGCAATGCAAGACTCTTACAGCCACAGACATGACTATTAGAGGCGTAGGCATGATGGGTTCACCACAGCTGGAGGGCCAAGATTGCCTACCCCTGCTCTAGAGAGAACTCTGTATATGAATTATCCTCATTCAACATCCTTGGAGAACTACTGCTGAGCTATCAGCCACACTGGGAGTGCATTGTTTTCAATGAGCCATCTGACTTTTGCAGTGAGAAGAAGCAGTAAAGCACAAATAATGTGTTGTGCCAGAAGCAGGCTATGTAATCATCATGCAGAGTATGATTTACATCAAGCTAATCACATTTAGCCAAATATAAGAAAAAAACTGGACCTCCAGCTCAACCTAAATATATCTTCACCATAATACTTGGCAAAGGATTTGGAATTCAGTTCAGCTAGGCTTGTGATCCGCACATGATTAAACTTGGCAAGAGCCCTTGGGACCCACAATCTTTTGCTACAATAGATAAGTGCATAAACCCTTTTTAGCACCCCCTTCCCTTTCCCCAGATTTTCCATAACAGGCTCATTCACAAAGATTTCGGATATAGATCTTTATTTCATCCATGTGACTGTAATTTTCCAATGTCATTATTTGAATACTTCTCACTTTTGTTGACAATAAGAACCCTTTTCCTAGAGTGTTAAAGTGAATAGAATTGCGGTCCTGCATTGGGCACTAGGACAGCAAAGATTTTGAAGAGTTGCTTGGTGGCCACACGGTAAAGAACACCAGGGAGCTGAAATGTAGGTATGTAAGCTAAAGTGAAAATGCTGGAGGAGGTGGTGGTTAAGTTAATTTAAAGGATAAGCGCAGAGTCGTGGTTCTCTGTACATTATCATTGCTCTGATCTCAAGTCCTGTCCCTGGATTCCTTTCATACCGACCATGACATTCTCCCAAAAAATGCTGCCTATGACAGTAGCAGAGCCTTTCTGCGCGACCTCCACACCAAAGATTTTTTGTTGTTGTTGTTTTTGTCCTTACTCTTCCTGTATTAAAGTGAGTCTGTACTAAGCAAAGTAACAGGTACACTTTATTCAACCCTGCCAGCAGTAGATACTCAGCCACCAGTGCTGGCAGGTAAGTTGAAGAGAGTAAAAGGCTTTCCCTTGCCCAAAATCTTTCTACAATCTTGGCAGTGGTATAGCAAATTGAAGGTATGTGCTACTATAGGCCGCTATTGAAGTGAACCTATTTGCTTTAAAGCCTCTGGCCTGTTTTTATATTGGGTGTCAAGGGTTGAACTAATAAGTGGGCCTTGCATTTTAAGGGTCCATTTATACTCATGCATGTGTTTTCACGCTTTCTTTTTTTTTTATTTATTGAGAATTGGCTTGCGTTTAGCATTTCCATTCATTTAATTGGTCCTAGATCCATCCAGGGTTCCAACAAAAATGTACATGCCTCATTTTTTCACCTTATTGTATATGGGCATTTTTAATGGCACCCACAGTACACATCACCAGCATTTTGCTGTGCCACAGAAAGCAGGTTAAAAAGTTGTACATTTTGCCTTGTATATATAAAATAGATATAGAAAATGTATTTTAAAAAAACAGGAAGCAAATAAATGAACAACAGAATCGGGTGCATTTATTGCAAATTAAGCTTCTCAAATAGCAAAGGATTTGCAACAGTTTAATGTGCATTTGTGACCCCCATGCCTGCAGTTCCCTCACTCGGAGGCTTCCTGTATGCAACAGCTGCTGTCAGCATTCCTTACACAGAGTAGGACCTGACTTGTGAAAATGAAAGCTGGTCCAATGCTGCTTATAAGTAGCAGACTCCTGTCCCAGTGTAATGGGCCAGGAGTCTGCTGACAGCAATGCAGCCCTGATGACGTTTGACAGCCCAGCCCCACCGCATACAAAGCAGCTTGACGTATGTAACCTGCGGTGCTCAGCTGTCAGTTTTTACAGTCCAGTTCTGTGTAGCGGGAGTGATTGTGCTTCTCAAGTGTATCCTTTCCCCCAGTACGGCACTGGTTTATGAACATCCACACAAGTCTCCAAGACATGCTTCTTGCAGTATGGGCTTCACAACGTGTACTGGTACCTGTAATCTGCAGAGCTGGGCTGTCTGTTCGAGAGCCGAGCCCAGCTCTTGAAACAAGAGACCTGCGGAGCTCAGCTGGCACTTTCACAGCATGGTCCCTTTGTATGTATCAGGAGCATTGACAGCGGCTTCTGATACATAGAGATGGACCTGTGTGTCAAATTGACAGGTCAGCCTTGCAGACTACAGACCTCATTAAAAGTTGCAAATACCACTACAGAACAGAAGATGCCCTGGAGACTGGTGCACATGTTTAGAAATAATTGCTGTACTGGCTGGGTAAGGCTACACTTTTAGGGTCTGCATACCTAGTATATTGTATAACATACACAGGAACACTTTGAAATGGGTGTTCGGTGTTAATGCATGAGTAATGGTAGGGGGCAGGTTCTCCATTGACATATCCAGCATTACAAACATTTGCCCCAAGTGCACCCCTTCTACTTAGGTCATATCAGTTAGCAACCTTCTCTGCTAGTTTCACAGTTAGGTCCTAAAGCAGAGGTAGGCAGCATTGGCACTCCAGCTTCGGTGCCTCTGCCCGTCAGTCTTGCAATGCCTCATGGGACTTGTAGATCCAAAACATCTGGAGTTTTCCTACTGTTGACCTAAGGAGACAACGTCCAGTCATCTTCACTATAAGTGAAGATGACTGGAGCTGGCTTTAACTGGTGGAGATGGTTGCTGGTTGATCTGAGGTACGTAAAATAGGGTATGTAGGGGATATGGGGGAGACATTTTTGTAAAGATGGAGTAATCCATTAAACAAATTTTTTTATGAAGTCTATACATTCCCCAGTTCACATAAGTCAGAGGGACAGCTGCTTGAGAATTGCCTACATAAGCAAACAGGAAGATGAGATACATTTTATATGAAGCTTTCACAAAAAGAAATATTTTATATCACAAATTAGAAAAACTTTTCATAAAAAAGGGACACAGAGTTCATAACATTATATATAATGACACATTTCTCCTTTTTAAACAAACGCAAGTCTGTTTTTTAGTGCTGTGCACTGTCCACATATTGGCCAAATCCCAAAGAGCCAAACCAGTCATTCCTTCCAGGAGCAGCACAGTACTGGTGAAAAGAGCACCTGTATAGTCATTTAGTGACGGCAGCCATTAGGCAGGCACAAGGCAGTAGCCATAAGAATGCGGCTTATTTCTTTTGGTCAAATTTTTAGAGAATTTTTTAGACTCCACGTTAGTTCCAGCCAAATCATTGAAGGCTTGCCAATGCAGGTTGCAGGTCCCCTTTTAAAAAAAAGGCATCAAAAGCCATTTTTGTTCAGTTTCTGGCTTTGGTATAGGGAAACCTCCTCAGCACTGGGACTTTTTACAAAAAAAATATTTTTTTTTCAGCATGTGCATTAGCTAAGATAAAATACTATGTACAGTATCTTAAAACAATACCAAGAAAAGCAAAAACCTCGACGTATCTTTTTTAGAGGAAGACTTAGTGTGTCCTAGTATATCAGAGATCTGCACCTGACAAAACAGACGCAATGATTCAGTTCTGTCTTATATAAATATGTAATACAATAAACATTGAGAGCAAGGCCCAACAATGAGGCCTAGGCAAAGCTGCAAGGTTCGATGCATTGTCTGTACGGAAGCTTTGCTTCAGGGGCTCCGTGGACTCCCCAGAACACTGGATGAGAGGAGGCTGGTAGGATGTTGGCCTCTTTTGAGGTATTGACGGACTGGACCCGTCTGTAGGCCTTTCGCCCATGTAAAGAAGAAGACGGCTATGGTTGTCCTGCTCAATTTTAAATAATTCATATTCAGTGTGGGGGAGGCTGACACCCAGGGCAGTACAACCTCCCGTGACCGAAATGTCTTGCTCTTCCCCTATGGTCCACGAACCGGCCTCGCCACAGCTTCCAGGCCGTGAAGTGTTCAACATCTGTAAGATGACCTGGTTTAGTGGTTTAACCCATACTTTGTTAACTGTAAAGGTCAACTCCGTGCCGCCCTTCACTCGCTCGGAGCAAATGCCTTTAGTGTAGAAACCAGCAGCACGCAGAGTGAAAGTTGGCTGCTTGCAGAGAGGGTCCGCGTAGTGGTAGTAGAGCCCTTCCCAGGAGCGGTTATCTGAGTGGAACATCAGGTAACGAGTGAGGAAGAGTACGTTTGGGCGCACTTCGCATTGGCTGCTAACCCATTCGCCTCGGAGGTGGGCCGGAGGCTGCGCAGTGGAAGGCAAGACAGGTGGGTGGTGCTCGTCGGCATTGTATATTGTCCCGCAGACGAGGCATGGGTGGACGTGGTGCTGCAAATAGATAATGGGTGTAAGTAAATAGAAATCACTTTAGGCCTTATTTAGAAATTCTGGACAGGCAGGGGTGTAAAAATGTGCAATAGGGTCCCTAGAGACAAGACATTAAAGTATTTCTAATGCCAACATAGGAAGTAGGCTAAAATCTCTTAATTGGGAACATAGACAACAACAAAACTAATTTTCCAGTCAAATTAGTAAGGTTTAGAACTTCTGTTGGGTTATTGTTGCTGTCTGTGACACCGCTCAACTCATTTCTTGCTATCACGGGGACAGGAAGTCAGACAAAATCTCCATAACAGGAACAAGAGAGCTTTATTTAAAGGCTAAGTTTATATTTTATACCATATTTCATGGCACACCCATATTCAGCGTGTAACATGAAATATTGTATGGTCACATTGACCATTGAAACTTACCAAAGCGCTCTGTAGCGGCTGCTGGTATCCATTTGGCCGGTAGTGCGCCCTTTCCAACCGATCCGTATGAGTGTCTCCCAGAAACAGCTTCTCCACCAGTCCTCCCCCCAGATGTCCGTTGTATTGTTTCTCCAGTCTCACTAGACTTAACTCATGCATTGAGAAGGTGATGGCAGCAGTGCAGTCTCTGTTCAGCTTGGCGCTAAGAAGCTCATATACCCTCCCGGGTGCCCATGTCCTCCCAGTGGACACAAAGCCAGAGCAGGTCCTGTTCATCTGGGCTCTGATGTTACTCATGGCTTCCTGACTGTAGAACACAATCCCCACTTTGTGCAGGTTGTAATCAGCCTCGGTGGCCCCCCTTGTAATCCAGGATGCTTGGCGTAGTCGCAGTTTTCCCTTGATCACCAGAGAGTAGGAAGGGTGATGACACTGGGGGTCTGTGTAATAGAACTGGAGAGCCTTGATCAAACGATTAGGGTAGAAGGTGTAGGACCTTGTAAGGAATTCTGGGCCAGGTCGAACTTCACATCTGTAATTAGTAAATAAATTAAAATATAAACACAGTAACAGATTTATTTATCATTTACACTGTCTGATCTTTTCATAGAAACCTACATATTATATACACTATATGACCAAAGGTTTGGGGACCATCACATGTTGGACATCGCTTGTTGGACACTCCATTCCATACATTTGTATAGAACTGCCTTCCCCACAACGCACTCTAAATCAGTGGTTCTCAACCTGTGTAACCTCAGTATCCACATTTGTCCTTGGTCATTAAGTCGTGACCCAAGTCGCACTTGGGTCGCATGTGTTCCGGTGCGGGCAAATGAACTGTGGGGCGGGAGTTGCGTTTGGGGTGCCATTGAAATGAATGTCATTGCAATGCACCTCCCGCATCAGAACGTGTAGTAGGTAATTGAACTGTACTAGTGTGCACCAGAATCGTGGTACAGTGCGGTAATTGAACTGTACTAGTGTGAACGGGCCCTCAAAAGCCCCCGAAACATGTTGGATACTCTGTTTCGTTGTTTGCAAACCAATTCTATTCTCCTTGTCGTTTGTGACTAGCTTCCCGCTTTCATCCTTTATTGGGCCTATCTGCTCGTTGTGTCTTGTTTGGCACCCTTATTGGAGACTTTATATACATGAATCTTCAATTCCAGGTGCCGTTGTTTGAAGGACATGCTGTTTTTTCGTTGAGAGTGGCCTCATCAGAGACATTGTACTTTATCACGTTCTGACTGATCTTCTGATTATTGGAATACATAGGGACTCCTGGTGTCATAGGGACAGGAAGTGAGGGAGAATCTCCCAGTAAGGTCAGACAGAAATAGAAACCTGAGATCTTGTGACTCTACCCTAAATTTTGGCTGGAGTTAGGCTATTAAAAAAAAGCATCATGCTTTAGCTAATTATTCCCCAGCAAGTTTTATTGACCAAGGAGGATCTAAAGCAGTCTTTGGTTCTCAAGTGTCTAAAAAGAGTGTTGGATTCTCATTGATTGGTACTGTACATGGCAAGCTGTATTGGTTAGCTGAATCCTTCTGTGATGTATGAGGGAAACATTCCTGTTGGTAGGTAACAGCAACATGATTTATACATTTCCTCACCCTGTGGAGATCCAGTGACCTTCTATGTTAGGAGGCAAGACCGCGGATATACGGGCTCCGTCCTGTAGGTGGCGCAGTTGGTATTGACATTGAGGCTCCCGGTTCAGCTTCCCAGGGGTAAGAAACTGTTCTGGTGAGACTGGTACATTCCACAGCTTGTCTCCATAGACCAGAGCTGTGAATGAGACAAGAAGAGCATAGATCAAATCCACGGAATACCTACTGAGGACCTTGTGATAAAAAGGGCATCAGAAATAGGACAGGTTCTAAAATGTATTCACCCATGCTGCGCTAGACATAATGCAAGGCAGAATTATGCTGCTGGGAGGGTGGCCCTCGTTGGTTGGATTGATGACTATATAATATTATTAATAGACAAAATGCCCTTCTTTTAATATATATATTGTAATAACATTATATTATATCATAATAATATTATTAATTTTTTTAATAATACGTTTTTATTACTTTCAACAGTATACAAATGGGGTACATACATAGAACAGAGAATTTCCAAGAAGCATGGTCCAACACATGCCAATATGGGAAAGCAAGAAGGGGCCCTTTACAGAACAGTATGATACAGAGTTTGTGGTAAGACAGTACATAGAGATCATAGTAGACTAGAAAATATAAATTGAATATGATTTATTTTATTTTAATTATATTTAAAACACAACTTAATTATTTTTTTTATGTAATAGAAAAAAATCCTGGAGTTTTATTTTTTGAGAGATTTCCCTTGACTTCCTATCCTATAAACATAACAGGACAGAAGAGGAAATCTCTCTGGAGTGAGGGAATCCTCTTTTAGATGTCCCTGAAGCAAGTGTCCCCACTGGAAGATCTTTCCTCTACTCCTGTTCCTTGCGGCATCTCAAACGTATGGATTTTCCCTCATTTTCAGTCTTGCAGACAACGTCCACTATGATAAACAGAGAGGGCGAATCTCCCCAGTGGGGGCACAGACGGTGATATAAACCTGACACGGGTGCCAACCCTTCTATTCAAGTTTTGGCTTTAGATACACTTTCAATTTCTACTCAAAGTTGTACAGGCCCTTAGTTCTGTGCCTACAACTGTCTTATGTGAAATCGGTCCCTAGTCTCTTATCTTGTACTGCGCTACGGCATTTATCACCGATACCCCTTTGCAATATATAAATGTACATTTGTTAACATCTTTCCAGCAGCATCTTGCCATTGATCCGGCATAACACTGCCCATGGCTTGTGGCACCGTCTCACACATCATGCTTGGTGACTTTAAATATATTTTGATGTATTTGTTATGCCATTGTATATGATATTTCGAGGGACAAATCTTTACAACCAGGGACCGTCCCTGGAAATCACATATGGTAAATGATGTTCATAGAGCTGTATGCGAAGGGCCATTGTGGGTGGAATGATTCATGATCCGTGTCTTTCTGGAACAGTCTTGCTCCCGTGTGATAAGGCAGCATTGTGCTCCTGGAGATTCAGAAAGGATTAGGGTGTCTCCGCCTGGTTTAACAGGGTGCCATCCTGTCTCCGAGCCTCCAGACAAGGGTAACAGTCTTATATTGTACAGAACATGACATCACAGGAGCTGTCAAATGGCAGATCTCTGCAGCCATAAAGACATGTCATGTAGTGGTTTACAGCAGCACTTAAAGGGCCATTAAACTTAAAACACAAGTTCACTTCCATAAAAAGCCATCAATAAACACACACAGACATGCGTGTTCCCATGCATTAATAGACGCCACTGAGGTGCTTCCCATGATTGTACTATTTGATATGTAGAGCTGAGTGAATCCTATTGACTTAAAGCTGAACTCCAAGATAAGAAAATATTGTCCTCATACAAGAATCATGTATATTCTAATTGAATCTTGGTGAGCTTTGTGTATTTCTTCCAGATCTGTCTAGTAATACAGCGTGACACTCATATAAAGACCGATCACTGCTGCTCTCTCTCCTTGTGCAGGGCGACTGGTCTTGTCTCCACCCCCTCCTGTACTTTCCTGTAGCAGGTGCAGCCTTCATGTAATAAAGACAGGTCACTGTTGCTCTCTCCCCTTGTGCAGGGAGACTGGTCTTGTCCCCGCCCCCTCCTTCAGTTTTCTGCAGGGAGACTGTAGTAGGTGGAGCCTTCCTGTAATAAAGACCGGTCACTGCTCCTCTCTCTCCTTGTGCAGGGAGACTGGTCTTGTCTGCCCCCTGCAGTGGAGTAGATTAAGGGAGTTATATAGTATAAAAGCACACTGGTAGAACATAGGACCGGCTGCATTAAAAAAAAAAGACAAGTTGGCATTGAACATTATACAGTAAGTACATGAAAAGGGTTTTTTACTTCTTTTTTTTGCCTGGTTGCAGAATACAGGATAGGACACCATGGCTGTTCATATAATCTGTTTTCATCTCAGTTATTGTTTTTTTTCAAGTTCAGATTTGGCTGTAAAGGTTCTCCTCTATCTGGGATCAGAGCTCGGCATGCTGGAAGACAACTGCTTGGCTGGAACAGTCCTGTGGTTTTCTGTTATTTTGATACCCTTGTCTTTCTAGCTAATCCAAAAATTAAAATCACTTAAATGTGTTATTATTGTATTAGGTCACAGCATTCTCAGCTGCGGTCAACTTTCTTCGCCATGTGTTATAAGGGGTTGCAGAAAAGAGGCTTCCCGACCTGGGGTCCTTGTTATTCCGAAGTTAAGGTAAGACTCCGGGCCAATGTCTAAATACATAGAGGCTCTGTTTTGTCGGCCCTATGTGTAATTATGTTCTTTCTCTGTCCTTTTCATGCCTGTAGTCCCCCATTGTAGTTTCTTCTGGTCATCTGCCTGCTCATTAGACTATAAAAAGCATCACAATGCTGCTGAGATCCTCCCTAAGCCTCTTCCTTAATACCTCTCCCAAAGCCTGAAGCATGTTAGAGCATACTGGCAGTACTGGGAAATGCAATAAAGCAAGTTCATGATTGCCCACTCACTTCCTGGACTGTCAGCTAAACCCCTATTTAGCCTCTTTAGTGTACTGCCATAGAAGGTCCACTTTGGCTGGCAGTAGTGTCTCTAATCCCCCCCACCTCTTGTGGATTCTACCTTGAAATGTCTGCAGTAATCACCCCGGAAAGCGGCTACAGTGAGTTCAGCTCAAAGCAAAGCCATGGGTGACCTCAGAAACAAAAGAAAATGACACAGCTTTCAAATCCAGATTTTTTTCCCTTCCCCAATACACTCAAAAAGTAAAAAAAAAAGTCTTACTTGGGGTTCCTTTTTAACATCCACTAGTTGGAGTTCTTTTGGAACCTTCTTTTGTAAGTTTGTGTAGAGAAAGAAAATATGACTGACTAAGACAGGGGCACTACAACGTCTTATGCCTTACAACCAAGGAAGGTGCCATCTTAGCTTCTGTATGGATTGCAGTTGACATGGTGCTGCACATGTGATCAGCTACGCCACCAGCCATAAGTTGGCATGCCTTGAAAGTAACTGTTTTGGGACACATTAAATTGGTGAATAAAGTTACTCTTTCTAAACATTTTCTTGTTTGATGAGGCCCATGGACCTGCTAATAGCTGGCTATAGTTTTGATTTGGAAGGAAGTCAAATGGCGCTGATCCCTGTAGCATGTCAATTGGGGTGAGTTACTTACCCCTTCTTATGACACTTGCATCCTGGTTAGGACTTGGCCTTGCATCTAAACTGCTCTTCTTCCCCATAAAATGCTCATTGATAAACAGCTCAAAGCAACTCAGAAACCAATCATAAGCAACTCAGATGCAACTCAAGGCAACGCAACGCGGTGCTGCATTTGACTTCAGCCTGATGCCTACGCGCAAGAACCCTTACAATAAATCTGATCATTGTTCATAAAAGGAGTCTAATGTCCCTTTAATAGCTGAAGCACATGGAACCAGTTTGCAGATAAGACCCCGGCTCTGCAGCTAATCTGGACCTTCCCTTCGCTTTTATTCCTGCCGCTATCATCTGACTCCATTCATTGCCGATTTGATAATCCACACACGCCGTTTCCTTGTCCGGGCTGGATAGAAAGCAGATTGTGCTCGTGGTTTGTTTCTGCAGCAGACGGGAAGCGAGAGGTCAGCGAGAGGGACAACCCAGTCTAATTTGCTATCGCTATGAGTACCGGGGCCTAGGCTCCATCACTTACCTTGCGGGTTTAATAAATACAGATGTGTATAATCCAGGGGATTCCGCAGAAGAGATGAAACATGTGTACCCCCACCCAGCTCCGCGTCACATGACACTGGCATCCGCTGAACTAGATGTGACACTGCCACAATTATCGCTTCACCTATACATCTGGCTTTGATAATTCCCAGTTTGCAAAGCCGGATTGAATTGCATGATGATGTATGCATCTTCTACATCAGGAGTAGGCAACCTCGGCTCGCTAGCTGTGGTAAAACTAAAAGTCTCATCATGCCTATGACTGTCTATGAGTCTTGCAATGCCTCATGGGACTTGTAGTTCCACATCAGCTGGAGTGCTGAGGTTGCCTACCCCTGCTTTACATGCTACCTTTAAACTGAAAAATTCCAATCAAATGTTCCTATAAACAAGTAATTCCCAAAAAGTTAACTTTGGAGCAAGAAAACAAAGGAAATGAGCTGATCAGCAATCGCTTGTCATTTTTTGCTCATATGACCCAAATCTCTTGAACAGCTGCAGGTGTAGTTTGAGCTCCAGGACCATTGTAGACAGGCATTGTTTTCCCGTGCTTCATGGGCGCAAATACAGCTCAGCAGGTTCCCATTTATTTCAGCGGCATGGAGGATAGTTCTAAATCTGCATCTGACCCTCATTGTGTTGCATTTCTTTGGACGCAACAGGTCCTTATGAGTTGTGTTCACATTTCAAGCATAGCAGATCAACCATCCTTTTTTACGTTTTTGTATTTACTTGTATTTTTTGTATTTTAATATTTTTACATCATTGGATTTAATAAGCTTTGGTATTTGTAACCAACACTGCACAAGCTCAAGGTCCCATTGTGTCCCCAGAGCTTTTTTTGTAGTAGTAAATTGGTCATCAAGTCTGCATCCTGAAAGAAGATATAGAAGGGGTGAGTTGGTGGGGTATAATATAAAAAATCCATTGAACGGTGGAGTCCCAGATCCCATTATTTTATTTTAGGTGTTTTGGCAAATGCAATCCTTGCATGCATTT